AAACATTCATCGTGACTAAAACTGACACATCCTATCATATCAGAGGCAGAAAGTTCGCTATGGCCTCATTTCCTGTCTCTACATCTGTCAGACCCTATTGTTTCAGTCTATCAAAATGTGGTAAAATCTAATAGAAGCTCTCTCTGTGTGTAGAATAAAGTATCACTGTACATCCAAGAGTGGGGGGTTGCAAAGAGTTTCTGCAGGAATAGTGAATGAATGAGAGTGCCTGAAAGCAAAGAGGTAAACATCTGAAAGAAAAAAGACAGAAGGGTGTCATGGTTTCCTGAAATGCAGCAGTCGTCAGCAGGTCTGCAGCATAAATAGTGTCAAGAAGTCTTTGATGGGCACACTAACAGCAGGGCTATGCTTAACAGCCCATGACTGATGAAACAACATTCTTGCTTCCCCAGAGGGATGCCCCCTTTCTCCTGAGTGTTAAAAAAACCTTCCTGCCAAAAGCAACGAAAAATGATCTTCAGTGCTGACTTAGGAGGATTCCACATAAAAGCTTCATGTGGACTCAATCTGATGAATGAGACTCTGGTTAAAATGAACCTTTTGACCCTATTAATCATGCAAGACAATGTGATTACTTACCAGTCCTTTACAAGTGCTGATGGCAGCAGTTCCACGTACACCAGAGGTTTCCACAGTTCCAATGAGGTGGCAGGAGTTCCCCTCAGAGAGACCATGCTTGGTCCTGTTGGCGCTGCCTTTCCTCCTCTCCAGGATGTAGTCATTTGATACCAGGTGATTATTTGCAGTCAAGTTAAACATTAAAGTTTGACCCTTGTAATTGAGCTTGTAGTAAACCTGTCCTTCTAAAGCTAGGGGTTGCACATCACGCTTGACTCTCCCATCCTTGAAGTGGTGTGACAGAGAGTGGGAGATGAACTCTCCATCACCACTGGTTTTCACTGGGTGGACAATGGACAGATCTGACTCTGACTGGGACAGGTGACCTGCAGAATAGAGTTGAATACAGTACAATAGAACAGAGTCCATCGATTTGTGCTGTATTGATTACGCTGATTTTTAACCTCAGTGCATGCTGATATTCACTTCATCACGCACGCAAACGTTTCCAGTGACGCATTGAGGCATGCACAAAAATGCAGCTTCTGTCACAGCTGCACCACACTGACCTTGTTCTGCAAAGAGGGAGAGGAGTCTGCCAGACTCTTGGGAGAGCTCTGCGTGGCCGGCTGCCAAAATGAAAAAGTGTAGTAGCAGAGAAAGAACCGGACATTCCCGCGGACATCGCATATTTTATGTAACCAAGCTCAAAGCACTGGAAGAGAGTCCTGGGAGTTCCTGTGGTGGGTGGTAGACGCGGCAGCTTCGATTCTGCACTACACTGTGTCATGACATGAACAAGCTCCTCACGAAGGAAGTAGGGCCGAGCTCCGTAGCTACTGCTGGCTACTCCACAGCCAATTGCTGCGCCCACTTTGTGAATGGGCGCGCCCACAGCTACTGGGCGCAACATTTTGAATGATGGTATGTGCATTTGTGGTATGTAAAAATTATAGACCTGTTCCTTTACTTAGCTTTTGCGACAAGTGATCATCGAACCGGGTCTTTAAGGTAGGCTACACTGTTCTTTTATTTTGTGTTTTCATTATGTATTAAGATAGTATATTTTACCAAGGTTAGACGCGTTAACGTTGTCACTGCAACGTACTGTACTTTGAGACAGAAGGTCGCTCATTGAAATAACCAACATTATAAATATTCCTATCATCACTAAACCACTGCAACAGTAGTTTTCATTTTGTTTGGCATGTGAGTTTTTGGGGCCAAAATAAGGATTGTACTATTCTTGGTCAGGGATTGAGGCAGTCTTATTTCAGAGCTCAGGTTGTACTCACTGGCAGGCAGAAGTGGGCACTGAATCCTCAGTTAACACAGTGCTGTCAGATCCCTTCATCTGTTCCAGTGTGTAGAGCCAACTCTGATGTAGGACACAACAACAAACAAAAACAAAAAAAAAACACAAAGAAACTGAGATTCGGTAGAAGAAAAAACTGTATCTTACCAGGCAGTGCTGCAAACACACATGATCATTGGACTTCTGGGCAATGCGGATAGCCTCCTGTAGAGCAAGGTCAGCCTGCTGACTGAAGGCAAAACAATGTTGTAAGTTATACCTAATAAGAATATTCTGTATGTGGTAACTTGTTCATCTATGCAGACACCACAGGCACTTGTACTCACTGGTGGCCGAAGCTGCAGTGCAGGCTCGCCAAGTTAAGAGCAGCATAGCAGAGACTTCGACCATAGCCTTCATTTCCCTCATTTCCAGACAAGATGAGGCGATCAAAATAATGTAAGAGACTGTGGGCAGAAAGGAAGATGTCCTGGACTCTCATGCTGTTCAAGTAGTTTAGATAATGCTGAGAGAAAAGAGAAAAGAACAGAAATTGTGAAGGAGATACCCCCCCTTGGACTCTCGCAAAAACCGGTAAGTCGAGAGCCAACTCAAAAAACAAAACAAAACAAAAACAAATAAAATGATGATCAACAAGAAGTTGAATAGATCAGTCTCACCACCTCAGCAAAATCTGGGTTAAACTTCAACATGTTGTTGAGCTCTTCCTGCAGCGGGCTTCAGAGCTTTGTTCTCATCAGTCTTCAGGAGATATGTCAGGTGAAAGGTGTATCAGAAAAACTACAAGGGCCCCTGAATACTACACCAACACATATAGGTTTGACATAGGCTATGGATGGTAACATTTTAACAACCTCATGCTGCTTGTTTTTGTGAAAAGGGACCGCTGCTTGGTGTGTTGTCACTTCTAGAGCAGAGCCAAAATAACACACAAGAATCTGCTGTTATCAGCCATCCTGGTCACAATAACATAAAAACAGTTGCATAAGGCCCTACCCATGATCCTCTCCTGGCAGCACTTTGTTCCTGTTGGCAGACATGGTAATGTGGCTTTTGCAACTGGTGGCTCCTGTAAGGTCAGGGCACAGTGGGACTGTCACACCCCCTGAGGTCCAAATACCATGTGACAAGGAAACAGCGTGCACCCCGAAAACCAACAGGATCCTACTATTTGACCTGTTCCTTTCAGGATTGATTTAATTACCTGGATTTTGAGTAAAATAACCCCTCACAAATCTATTTCTTTTATTTACTGCATTGTGTGAATTGAAAATATATGCCTCGTGTAGGCTTTTGAGAAAATACAGAAAGTCCATCATATTTCAACAGAAACTTTCTCTCATCAAACTGCTCTCCTGTTTGTAGTCAAGTCAAGAATCTTTATTGTCATTATGCATAGCACAACGAAATTTCTTCCAGCAGCTCTTGGCTTAAAAGGCACAGTATTTACATAAATAACACAAGAATTGTACATCAATATAAGAATATGAACAGCTAAAAATTAAGATGTGTAGGACCTAATTGGGTCAACAGCATATTAGCAGCAGAAGAATATAGTCCCATTCTAAAGTGCAGCTCAGTGCAAATCTCTGTCTTTAAGAAGACGTGTGAGCATGTGTGTGCATCTGCTGGAGTCCAGTGTTCTATCTGTAACTGTCTGTGGGGGGGGACGTTATGTGTGTGTGTGTGTGAGACTAGGGGTCAGGGGGGTGATTGATTTCACAGCTCTGGGGAAGAAGCTGTGTCTCAGTCTGTTTGTTTCAGTCTTTATATTCCTGTGCTTTTTCGTAGAGGGAAGAGGCACAAACAAACTGTTACCAGGGTGGGTGGGGTCGGCAGCAATCCGTCCGGCCCTCCTCTGGATCCAGTCAGCGTATAGTGAGTCCAGATCCAGAAGAGGACTCCCTACAATGCCTACTTAACTGTTCAGCCACTTGTTTTCTTAGTTTTGCACTCATTTTATTTGACTAACCACCTTTATTGTGAAAGCCAAACAAAGTGCATTTAAAGAATTTCTAACAGTGATGAACTCAGTTTAGGAATGGCATCATTTATGACAAGTAGTAATTGAAAAACCAACAAATATTTTTAGTCACTGCCCATCAAAGTATGAACAATCAGCACAATTCTTGTCAGAAACCTGCATCCTGAAAAGCAGGTTTTAGGATGTTTTACCATAATATTCAATACAAGGCATGTCAAAGATTTCAAGATTTTTTTATTTGCCATTTATGCATAAACAGACAGTCTAGGCATATAGGAATTCTTGTGCAGCTCTCCTTTTGGAGTCAGGTGAGGAGTCAGAAGCCAGAAGAGAACACTTAGTCTTAGAATAAAAAAAGTTACATAAGGGTGACAAAGTATTAAAACAATACACAAAAATAAGATAATAGACAGTAATGAGATGGTGAACTTCAAATATCGTCATAGTATTTCCCACAGTGAACTTCAAACATCTAATTCACATGGTGGAGTTGGATATGGCATTACGCTTGGTGAGGTACTAAGGGGTTATTGCACATGTAGGAAAACACCTGATATCCATTTCATTCACTGGATACTAAGTAAACAGCTTATATAGTGATGGTAAAAGGGTAAGTCCAGTACTGAGAGTGTAAATACAAAATAATAACAGATATGAACATGTTAGTAACTTGATGCAACCCAAAATAGCCTGCTTGTACCCAAACAATAATATGAACGTACATGGACACTGATCATGTCCTCATGGCATGTACTAGAACATTGATCAGTGTTTTGCAGGTTCATGTTTGTTTCCTAAAGCTTTGCATTTTGAAGGGAAACAAGGAGATGGAACAAAAGGAGTTTGTGTTGCTTTATTAAATAAATGCATTGAATGATTACCTTCTCAACGTTGGGTTCAAACTTCAATGCATTTTGAGAGTCAATAAAAATAACTGAGTCATCAATTGCTTCCTTAAGGATCTTTCCAAATCAACAGTGTTTCATGAGTAACTGGAAGAGAGAAGCAGAACAACACATTGCCATATAATAATTAAAGAAAGGATTACAGACATGCATGGTGAAGACAACAGTGATAAGCAATAGACTGTGGCAATTTATCTTAACGGCACTTAGTGGTGATTGCCATGGACACCTACCGAGGCCACCCCGGTCGTGATCATACTGCCACCACTCCATCCAATTACCAATGGCTTCGACTGAGACTTCAGCACAGCGGGAGCCATAGAGGCAGGGGGGGTGTCCCCC